GAGAGGAGAGAGGAGAGAGGAGAGAGGAGAGAGGAGAGAGGAGAGAGAGAGAGACACACACAGAGAGATGACTCAACGGACGCCTTCGTTCGATTTGTCGACGCCTTTCGAACAGCTTCCAGCTTCGGCCGAAAGGGACTTTCGGACTTTCGCTCTGGTGCTCCCGCAGGACTCCTTCTCGGTGCGCGGGAGGCCGACGATCACTGCCAAGGTGCGTAGTTTGCCCTTTTTGGGATAGGTGCGGCCGGCCCCCCAAAAAGCATCAAAGCCCTAGATGCTATTGGATCAACCTGCACCAGAAGGCTCCGGTGTTTTAGTTCTTCAGTTTACCTTTGTTTGAGATGGCTCGGAGACTAATATGGATGACTCTTTTGGTTTCTTGCAGCTCAGCTTCAGTTTTTCAATCCCCAAACATGGAACTCCTTCCTTTGTCCACCAAAGAACACCTTCACTGACGCCGCACCGCCATCGGCCACGGCGGAGGCGAAGGCCTATGAGCTTTACACGGACAATCCCAGTGAATTCAAGTACTATAAGATGCTGGGCCTAGTGTTTTTTCTGGTCTCTGGATGGTTTTGGGGCCGCAAAAAGTGTGGCAGTGTTTTCGATGGCGTCTCTGAAGGGTAACTCTGCCAGCCAAAGAGACCTCAAGTGTTCCGGAACAAAGACGTGGCATGTTTGGTGGCAGGGATCAAATTCATTTGCTTCATACTGTTTCCCGAAACATTCGTCGGATCGCAGCTGTTGCCAACGGTGCTAGATCTTGTCCAGGAAGGCCAGAGCGATCAGCCTTTTTTCCCGCAAATGATCCCGCAAACGTGGTGCGACCGATCCACTTTTGAATTTTATTGGACCCCAAAGACCAAGGCCGTGTGGCTCGAAGTCAAGATCGACCACAACAATCGACCAGAGGGGCCCAAATCTACCGAAAAAGGGACCCTTCCGAGAAGAAGACAACAAGGGTTCATCCACTCGACATACTTCGACTCGACTCCGTCCCAAACAATCAAATCGACTCACTTGATTCCGGGTTCAACCCAGTCATCCAGTCATGGTTTTCACCCTGGCCGATCCTGGCTGCTGATGAGCCTGGCACCACTCATCGGCTCAGCGGCTCAGGATGGGGAATCGCGTAGGCCTGACCCAGCTGGACGCTGATCAGCTGTCGGACCTCTATCGGCCTCAGTCGCTCGGGCGAAAAAAACCGCGCGTGTGGATGAGTTTTGGGGGGGAATCCAAGTGGAACACTTTTTAGGAGTGGACCTGAATGTCGAAGTCTTTTGGGTGTTTTGGGCGGAGGGTGGGCGTTGAAAAGCCGTTCATGTAGATGAACAAGTGACTTGAGTCGTTGGACCACGAGCGGTACGCACGTTCTAGAGCCCAACAGACACGTCGCTTTTCCCCACCGATGCGTCGAACTTGTAGATTTGGGGAACAAGTTGACGCTCTTTGTGGGGCTTGACAAAGCTCCCATAGTTCGCACCGCAGCCCTACCCAGCCTGCCCCTAGTTGGCTTGCTTTCCTGGAGAATTGCGTGCAACTCAGATCAAGGGAAGTTTAAGTACAATTAATGTAGTGAATGGCTTTGTTAAATTGCCATGGCTCTTGCTTGGATCCCAGGAGCTGTGTAAGTTTGTAAATCTCTATATCTTTAGGAACCTTCTCAGCCCATGCTAGTTCTAACTTACCGTACGTCTTGTTTTGGGCCGCAGGAAATCCTGTTGCCCTTTGAACTAGGATCCTCTTTCCATCCGCTTTCCATCCTCTGATCTGGATCCCCTCCTCCCGACCCAGGAATCCTCAGTGCATGAGTCACTTGCTGGGCGGCGCGCGAGAGCACGCCGCTTGCTCAGACCTTCAGAAGTCCGGTGCTCCCTGGAAGGCGCGCGAGACGTCGGATGTTCGGATTCCGTGCGTGAAGGGCGTTCGGTGACTGAAAGAGGTGATGGAGCTGAAAAACCCCGAAGACTGGAAGAAGTTTTTCAGTTTTTTGGGGAGGTGTGCCATTCTTTGCCGGGCAAACGTAAGCCCATAGATCATCGAGCCAGTGAAGCCATGCGTTTTGGAGCCATGAGGTTTCTGTGCTTCGCTTGATTCTTGGGTAAAGGGATGAAGATGGATGAAGTAAGTCTTTCCACTCGACCCACCTTCCAACGAATGTTTTGCCACTTTGATCCGTTTTTTCCATGTGGTGCCACTGAAAACAGATGTCCATGTGGTGAACCATCAGGTTTTGAACTCCGCTCATGTGGTATCACTTTGTTGGAAGCCCAGCCCAGACGCAGCGTGCCCGTCCCGGTCTCGCCCACTGATGTCACGGGTACGGACGAGTGAAATGACGTGTTTCAGCGCGTTCCTCCAACGAGTTCCATAGCTTTTTGAATTCCTTGTTTCCAAGAGCAATTACATCAGCACCTGCCTTTCTTTGGATGGTGATTAGATATTGGTTGGGAAGAACGTTTTCTTTGGGATGTGGGTGCTTTGTTGAAACCGGATCGAATAGGAGGTCCTACTATTTGTTTTGACATGCACAGACTAAAAAGCTGCCCATGCAAACCAGATCGGAATGTGGCATCAGAATTTCACCCAGCTCGGTGAAATCTTTCGATCCTTTTGCGGAAACCCCAACTCGAAGGATCATTTACCGGCGGGGTTGACTCCTTTCGTCCGGTGGACTCCGTTCCTGAAACAGGGCCTACCAGCACCCGACTCTACAGGTCACCAGTCTGGTTCGACCTGAGACAGGGTCCTTCCCAACCCTATCCCTACCCAGCCTGGCCAGGAGGGTGCTGGTAGATTCCTCAAATTGGATGAACCCATTTCAGGTCCAGGGGTTCGTGCCAGGACCGGTACGACCAGGGCTGTCAGGACTATGTCAAGATGGATGCTCGGCGGAACGGGAAAGGGGATGGTCGTTCGGAACGTGTGTGGTTTCAATGCGCCACATGGTCTGCAGCATTCAATGATACCGCCCACTTCACAACAATCATCATGCAGGATATTCTCAAAGCATCTTCCCCTAAACCCTGAGCTGAGCTCCCTAGCTACACAAAAGCCCCGCTTCTGGACAAACCCAGCGAAATCTTCGAGTAGACACACAAAAACGTTGTACCCTAAGGATCCGCACCCTCAAAAACAAGGGTTTTGAGGGTACAAACCCTTGTTATAGAGGGTTCGATCCCTTCTAAGGAGGGTCCACGGATCCTTAGGGTACCAAAAAGTGAAGCCCAAAAACGCTCGACGAACTGCGATCGGTTCCCGAGAATCCTCGTGGGCCGCGAAGAGCACCAGTCCCAACGGGGTGTTCACTCGGGACGGAATTCATGAAGACCGTGACACTCCCAGAAAGAAAAGACTCCTGCCAGCAGTCACCAAGGGGTGCTTAATGGAAGTTAGGGGTGCCCATTATCCACTCACTTGGAGACTAAACACCACCCCTTTGTGACTCCTGGTGGTTTCGTGGAAGTGGAACACCACCTGGGACTGGTCTTCGGACCCTTCGGATGGATTTCGTGGTCCATCCTTTTTCCCGGGGCCATGCCATCCACAAAATGGCACTTCTTGCGGGTCACCGAGATTTTTCAGGTCGACCCCTGTTGCAAGCTAGGATTGACTGCTTGACTTCTTCAACAGTACTAGAATTCTCCTAGTATATGGTGCAGTCGTAGGCTTCAAAGAAGATTCTACCCAACCAAGTGGGTCTGTCTCACACTACGGAACATCCAATCAATGATTTACAGGGTGCTACATGAAGGTCTCCCTCAAAACACCCGCCATGAGTCAACCAAAAACAGAGACCATAAGTGAAAATAGACCCCTTTGGCGTGAAGTCGAAAGACGACCCCGGTTCGTTTCCTTTTGGAATGGTGTCAGCGTCATGCCATCTGTGCCATCCCTTTGTGGCTCTTCAATCCCACTCTCCATGAGACCTGCATGGGGAAAGAGTTCCAACAATCCTGAGACTTGTGCCAACACTGACACTCGAACCCGTGAAAACTCGTGGTAACTCCTGCCAACAGCCTAGCAAGCCTCATTTAAGGCACCCAGGTAGATGAAAGCCAAGGTTTTGTGTCTTTGGGTATCCAGTTGAAGGTTTTGACCCAACCAGATTTAAAGTCTTCCAAACATTGCCACCCTCGCCACATGGCCGCTGTTGAAACCACTGGTTTGGAGGAAAAGCGGGGCCACATCGACAGTTGCGGGGACTACTCCGCTGGAACCTACTGCTGCGATTGTGGAGGTGGACTCCGATTGCAGGAGACCGGGATTGTTTTGGAGGTGAAGTGAGCAGTCTGAGCTGGGAGCGCAACGTTGCGAAAGGTTTGGAGTTATGTTATTTTGACTCTTGATTCATAACCCCCATATGAAGTTGTTTTTCAATCCCAATGGGGGGCCACAGCAACTTTACTCAGACCTGGTGGCCTTCGTCTCCAGTTGTTCGACTCATCTAATAAGCAGATCCGTCATCAGCTTCGGATCTCGTGGGACTGGTTTTGCCACCAAAACATCATGCATCGAAAAGGGGTCCCTCCGGAACCTTTCGATTCAATATCAATGATAAGAATCCTCAGTAAATTAACCGATAGGCACCGCCGCATTTTAGCCCTCAGCATCACATCTGGATGGCAATCGTTAGGCGGCATTGCCCAATGGTCCGCTACGCAGGACCCATCGTGCCCGTGGTGCAACCAACACGACACGCACACACATCAGCTACTAGACTGTCCAGCCTTTGAACCCCTGCGGGCCAATCACCAGGAAGCTCTAACCTTCATGCGGGCCAACAGACGCACCTGTTGGTTTCCGCTTCCACAGCACCACCCCGAGGTTTCACTGGCTCGACAGGCAATGTACCTTCGTCACACAACCTTGTCCATAGCACCTTTAGGTCGCCTACCTGGCGACGTTACTATCTATACTGATGGGTCATGTGATGACACAAGGGACCCATACACGGCTCGTGCTGCGTGGTCTGTAGTTTGTAGTGTGCCTCATCATGTGCAGAACGAATACCGGGTCTTTCGTGTCTTAGCATGTGGTCACTGCCCAGGCCCACAGACTATTAACAGATCAGAACTCTACGCCATGGTCGTAGCCGTTGAGCAAGTTATTGCCAGTCCGCAGCACAGCCAAGTTTTATATGTAACCGACTCACAGTTTGTGTATGATGTCATCGATATCGACACGGGCCGAATTAGGCGAAGCCCGCATAAGAAAGCACACTGGGATTTGATTCACAGGTTGATCACATTATGGGACCCCACTCTTTTTTCAATTCGTAAGATCAAATCCCACCAGGTGACGCCACCACCCGTGAAGAGGAATGGCACATCCATGGTAACTCATGTGCAGATGAGGCCGCGGCCGTAAGATCTGTACACATCGAATCTGTACACATCGAATCCGTACATATTCCCAAAGATCTATAGTTTTTTGGTTGACCTGGCCTTAGCCAGAATGCTCAAACTTGAACAACAGGCCAATCCTCCTGCGCAGGGAGATGCACCTATAGGACTCACTGAAAGCAACGCTCATAAAGCGTATCTAACCCAGATGCAAAAGCTTCGAACTTGGCAAGTCTTAGGGCCTCTCTTCGAGCACCCAAGTGAACCAGATCGGGTGGTCTTTTGGTGTTGCCCATGGGGTACTAATCTCGCTCGCATGGTGTGGACTTTTTGCCAGTTGCTGGTGTGGCCACATCCTGACCACCCACCAGCACACGGGGATCCAGGTATTTCTTGGACTGAGCTGGCTTTTTCGTTCATGCTCTGGTCTAACCGCCCACTCCCCATCAAACTACGCGACTCCTCCAATACTGTTTTGCTCCAGTACCATGACCTCAAAGTATCAACACTCCCTACCAAACTTAAATCAGTTCAAGTCCTGGCTGAAAACTTTCGTTGGGTGGTTAAACATATTCAGACGTTTTCCAAGCAGACACTCATCCCGCAATATAGAAAACAGGGGTCCTCCAGCCCGATCAGATTGGGATTCACTTCCTATCATGAGGGAGGGGTCTCGCGGCGCCCAGTCCTGCCCAATGCGGAGCAGACATGTGCATATCTTCACGGCATGCTTCAGACAATGCCGCATAACCCGCCCTACCATACGGAAGTCGATTTACCGACCCTGCCGTCACGTGTTTCATCGATGGCCTGGCCCTCATGGCCGGAGGTCCTGGATTCCAAACGTGATTCATTCCTGATCCTTGTCCGTAATGCCATGGCAAGAAAGAAGCATTTCGACACAATTCGCCATCCGGTGGTTGACTAGCTCGCTAGATAATTGAACCAGGAGGTTCGTTAATTCATTCCGGTGTGGCTCCCACATGGCCTTTCATTGTGCCTCACGCACAACTGCCACATGCTATGTTTTTCTATGGTCGCATCAACAAAATTCAGGAGAAGCGCTTCGGTCATTACACGCCCTACGGATGTAATCACCATAGTATATGCACTTCATCTCGCTGCATGTTACCACGTGAAATACTTCGACACACCTCTTTTTCTGTTCCCATGCAATTTGTGCCTCTTCGTAGTTTTCGGTAGATTCTTTTCCTGTACATATGTCACGTGTATTTTCGAGGTGACGTCATCCTTTGTTCACCCCCACTCTCACCCCTCAGAAAAGCTGGGAAGGGGAGATGTGGGAGCGCCCGTATTAGATGGTCCGCAAGTGCGTGCATCCAAATGGGGGGGTTATTGATCAAGAGTCTACATTATGTTTAAGTGTTTTAATGTCGGTTTTTTTTGTGTGTGGGTGTTATGTGTATATATACCTACTTACAGTAGAACCCCTCGAAAACCGCTTTTTGAAGTACCAACACCCATTCTTCTCGGCCTTTCGTGGCAAAGCAGGTGTCCGTAATGTAGATTATTGTAGGCAATCGACAGATTGTCAACTGAAATGTTAAACAGATGCAAGGCGAAGACTGCCTGTTGCTTTGACTTCCCACTTTGTCTAGAGTCTAAATCCCCCAAAATACAAAGGTTCAAAAGGTTACAAGGAAAAAACAGGTTTTGAGTAAAGAGGAGGTTTTCACTCACCTCACCTCACCTGTTTTCAGCAAGTTGTTGGACCGCAGTGACTACATTCAGCGCTTGGCGCGCTTTTGGAGACCCCAAGAGAAGCCTGAGATGGCTCTGTGGTGAGATGGCTCATTGGCTTCTCTCAGATTTTCGTCTTCCTCCCATGTCCACTTGCTTCAGTGCACCCAGAAAGAGCTGTTTGAGGCGCGGCGCCACACAAGAAAGAATAGCTTGGCTTTGGTCGGTTTGCTTCTCTCTCAAAACCCAACAGGCAGAGTTCGTTGGGTTCACTGTTTCGCCGTTCTTTTCGATCCTGATTTTCGTCGCGAGAGCCCTCTCTCCCGACAGGGATACGTCAGATGTACAAGAAAAACTAACCCCTGGCATGGGGTGGGAACGTGGTGTGAGAACCAACCCCTACCAAACTGAAAAGCCATCCAGAACTCCATGGGTGTTATTGCAAAACATCATGGCTACGCCACACGGCGGCAGGAGTGGGCATGGGAATGCGATTTGTGCCGGAAGGTCTCTTTGAAGGGTTGTCAGTGCAAAGAAGGCGTGGTCGAGCTGTTTCGTCGGGCGAGACCGACTGACTTTTGGACCTACACATGAATTCCAAACTCCTCGCTGATCCGCATAGATCCGCAGTTGAAACTCATGTGGCCGTGGTCCAGCATGTTATTTTTCTTTCGAAGAAAACATCAAACAGAATCTTGGTGAAATATGAATCTTGTGTCCGGCCCAGAACCATGTGCAACATCAGCTTTGTACCGACGATTCTTCAGCCAGCCAAGCCACCGTGGGGGATGAACCATCGGCTTCGTTGGGAAGCATCATACCTCCCTGGACCTAAATCTTAACCATTTGCATCAGTAGTGATTTTTGACGGATGCTCCCTGCTGTAAAAAGATGGAACCGATCCTTTTTCCACACCCTTCCCGTTTCACCCCACACACCTGGGTCTCTCAATTTTTGTCGTCGCACCATGCGCGCGCATGCGCGCAGTCTACCTTCGTCGCAAGGCCCATGGACGCTCTTCAACTACACCAGCAGCAGCACTTGTGGCAATCCAGGACATTTGAACCATTTCCCTTCGTGCCTGGCGCTGGCAATTCAGCACTGAAGTGCGTTTTTTCGGGAAGTTGAAAAGACATTGGAACCAAGAAGGCGATCGGTCGTTTGGGGTTCCCTTTAAAGCGATCCTCGGTCAAAAATCGGCGAGGAAACTCCGAAACGGAGATGTCCCCGATGTCTTCTCATAGGCTCCTTGCCAATGTCTGGATGAAGTAAAGCCTCTTTCCACAAGGTCACCTTGGAACCTGCTGGATTGATGTCTTCTTTGAAGCCTAGGAGGCTTCCCACACATGGTGCAACTTGTCTTCCATCCATTCGACCATTGAACAGCAGCCATGTAAGTATCAAGGTTTTTATCTGTTTACTGTCAGCGGGATGTGTCAGCTTTCGAAAAAATAGATTTTGACCATTTCTTTCCGGAATGCTCCCATGCTCCCAGAACGGGATCATCCTTTCTGCATCTTTTGAGCATCTCGGAATCCGTTCACCGAGGACTCTCCGTCATCAGCAGTGGAGCTCGTTCCACCATGTCTCGCTCAACACCTTTCTTCTTCTATTTCTTTGTCTCACGAGTTGACTCGTCGTTGACCTACTCGTTCGTGGGGTCTACTGCTTCGGTGTTTGCCCCATCTCCGACACACTGTGACCATGACGGGCGTATGGGGCTGGGCGCCTCAGAGGGGGGCCCGCCTTTGGTCAGGTGTGTGGTCGACGAGGGCTGCGCGGATGCGGTGGTCATGGGCGGCAAGTCGCTGGCGCCGTGTAAGATGTGCCTGGGTGGAGGAGGTGGTAGAGGTGGTAGATCTCCAGACACCTCCGACCACAGGTCTTTGAGCTTTTTGTTGGGGGTGGTGGTGGAGGTGTCTGGAGATGAACTCTGGTTATCGGATTTGATTTGTACCAGCACCGACTTCACAGGTCACCAATTGAGACCTGTTAGGGCCTAACAACCCTCCAAAGGAGACCTGTTGGAGGTGCTGGTATAGGACTTGACGTGGATTTGTTGGGGGGTTTGGTAACGCTAGGGCTGTCATACTGGCGCCGGATGTGGGTGACAGAATCTCCCCAGTGTTTGGCGGATGAAGACAAGCCTTCAAAACACCCGGAGCAACTCGTGGTCGATCGGACTTTGACGGTGGAAAGCAACACCTCTAAACTTGGGGCGTTAATGGGGGCGCCGGTGATGGGTATAGGCTTTGATGGGTATAGGTCGAGCTTCTCGACAGGGCCAAGAGCCTTCTTGTGACCTCTATCTTTTTGACCACCAACCACCCAACATATGGTCAAACTTCCTATCAAAACAGAGGTCATGTCTGGGCTCTAAGTGGTCGTGGAAAGGATGAATGATGGATGTTGTCATCCCAAGATGTTGGGCTCTTCTTGTCATAGACGAAGTGTCGACCAGGGTGGACCATCCATCACCCACCAGCCTTCGCTTGCGAACCTGGACGCGAAGCTTGTGAAGCCAATCGAACAGCCATGTCACGGGATCGTGCTAAACACACTTTTTTCCTATCACCCCCTAGTTCCACTCCACCTTGGTGCGACTGCGGCCCAAAAAACGCGGTTGTCTGCGCTTGTGCTGAGGTACACGGGCTTCACCACCAAAGGCTGTAGATGTAGAAGATATGGTCAGGGCTTTACCGAGGGCGGCATCAAAGTGGAAGGCGCGATGAAGCGGGATGACGCGAATGACTTCGGACTGAGTGCGGCGAGGAGCGAAGAGGGTTCTTCTCAGGGGTGAAAGGGAGTCGACTCCATCTCTGAGAGGTTTTGGGATGGTTTTGCTTCGCTTTTCGTGCGTATCGTCTTGGTGGTTGTTTTGATGCGTGGAATTGAGACTTCTTCCTGAGCTTCCTGAGTCATGAGGCTTTTGATTCAGCCTTTTGGTTGAAAACAGCGGAACCAAAGCCTCCAAGCACGGGTGTTTTGCGGGTTCCAAGCACTGTGGCGCCCCCAGTGCTTCGAACCCCGCACCAGCCGAGCTGAAGTGGAAAGTGGTGGTGGGGTGTTTGCCTTTGCAAAAACCCTGGATGTTAAAAACCCCAGTGCTTCGGGAAGGCAAACCTTGGCGAACATGTCCGAAACAAAAAGGAGCAAACAGACCCAAGATGCTGAGGCACCTGCGGAAATCCCAACGACAAGTTTCGCGACTGGTGCTACGTGGAGGAGAGCGAAAGGAAGTGCCAAGGGGGCCAGCGCCGTGGCTTTAAGACTCCCGCTTGTTCTGGAGAAGATGGCAGGGATGGGTGATTTCTTTGGGTGAAATTGGTCGCAAAAACAGGGAGACGCCATTTTCCCTAAGGATCCGAGGAACCGGACCCTCCAGGGGTCGAACCCTGCTGTGAACTACGGGGCTTGGGGCCCCTCAAAGCCCTTTGTTTTGTTTCAGATGCGGATTCCCTCCAGGTTAGTCCATTTGAGTCATCCCATGGGTAGACTGGCCTTCCCTCCATGCGACGGTGACCCCGGTTTACTTCGGGACGGTCCCGTAGGTCCCCCGGAAGGAGTAGACGGAAGTCTACCAGGTTCGGCGCTCCGAACGGCTGGGCGATACCCTGGGAGTCCAGTCGACTATAAAAAGAATGGTCTGACTAGGGGACCTGAGTGAAAGGGAACTTCCTTTACTTCAGCCGGTCAATATATAGTCGAACTGGACTTCTAGGGTATATATACCAGCACCGAAACCAACAGGTCTCCGATGGCTGGAGGGTTGGGAAAGGCCCTGTCAGAGGTTTCAATTGGTGACCTGTTGGCCGTCGGTGCTGGTAGGGATCTCCCCTATTCAACTACACACCCACCACCAGCACCCGACTTCACAGGTGCTTCCGTGACAAGTCCAGTGCCCAGGTTCACCACCCTCCGTCGGGTCTCCAAACAGCCGAACTTGGAGGGTCCTGGCCGATTGTCTCTCGCATCGGCGGAACCGGATTCCGCCGGAGTCCGCCGAGGTGGGGCTTTTGCGAGAAGTCCCGGTGAATGTCTCACAGCCTGCGTCGTCTGGCCGTAGCAAAGGACACCGGCCGGTTGAACGCGCAAGCAAGGACACCGCGGGGGGGAACCGCACGGGCCGATAGCTATCCAATAGCTTCAACCTGGGGAGTCTTGCACTTCGGAAGCAGCGATGAGAAGCTGAAGGATGAGTGGATGAGTCCAGTCGACTACTTCGTAACATCGTCTGACTGGAGGACCCGAAACGGAAGATCCTTCATCACTTCGGTGGTCCCGAAATGGAACAAATCCTTCCTTCTTTAGACGTCGACACGGATGCGCGAAACATCCGAGGGCTGACTGAGAAACATCGGACTCGATGGGGAGATCTTTGGTGACCTTTTGAGACTTTTTGTGGTTCCCTAAGGATCCACATACCGAACCTGAGGTACGGTGATTGGAGACTATTGATGTAGGCGCCAGGAAGGTCCAATTGCCTTCTGAGAAGGTATGTGGATCCATAGGGGCTTCCTACCAAAAGTCATGTGAACCAAGGCATTTCTTTCTGACATTGGGGGGAGAAGTGGGAACCGGGTACTTGCTGCTTGCAGCCCCCGTCTGATAGAGAAGGCCAGCTTCTTCTGCCTGTGGTGAGGCCGGCGTGTCTACGTGTCTCCCTTTCAACCGACCCGGTCAGAGATGGTCCAAATCCGACCCGGGGATTTCTCTGAAGGCGGGCATGGAGGAAGGACATGTCTTCGCGAGAGGCGACAAGCATGGTTGAAGGACATGCCCGTAAGAACCGAAGTCAGACCGCCAAGATCCTCGCAGAACTTCTAATGTTTTTAGGCAACATCACACGGTTTCCCCCACAAAAAGAAGAGATCGACATCTGTCAGACGCGAGGTGATATGTTCAATTCCAAAGAAACGACATATCTTCATCGTCTTGGAGCTGCAAGACCCGACCCTCCTGCGGGCCCTCTCGAGGCGTCTCACTTGAGAGTGGGATGTGAAGAAAGAACCACATCAGTCTGGTGGTCCGCAAAGCCTCAAACACTTGGGTGCATTGGATGAGAGGACAGTAGAACTGTCGGAACACCTGCGACTTGGTCTTGGTCTGAGGTAAAACGGCTGCTTTGGTCTTCTTTGAAGGCATTGCTGTGGGGTTGATACTAAACTTCAATCATACTAAACTTCCTGGTCCTACTCCTGTAGTCTTGGTACTCAACTTCAATCCATACTCATGGAGGAAGTCTTCCAATGACCTCCATGGACCCTGCAGCAATGACCTTGCTGCAGAAGACACCACTCGCTGCTAGCCCCACAGAAAGAGCAAAGAGCATCACGTCCTGCCTGGTCATGCTCTTAACTGTTGGCAAAAATCACTCCACCTCCCATCATCTCCCCTATCACCTCCCTACATCTCCCCTATCACCTCCCTACATCTCCCTATATCTAGTAGGCCTACAGGTGATTTTCTCTCCTAAATGTCAATTCTTGTTGGGATCCGTCTGAGTATGGAGCGGCCATGGCTCACATTTACCCATCACCTTAACCTGGTTTGCGGATCACCTGTGCTGAGAGCTCCCAAAGTTGGAGCTGGCGACCACGACGCTTCCGAGCAGCGAGGGGTTCTCTGAAAGTGCCCCGGATCCAATCGTTCCCTGGTGCGATTTGGAGGGAGCTACTGAGTGTCGGTGCGCTTATCCAATGGCCTTTTTGGAAGACCATTTTCCACTACACACAGTGGGTGAAGTCCACTTCCATGTGAGTTCCAGTAACATCAGCCTAACACTAGCCGTCACTAGCCAAGCTATGGTCCATGGATCAGTTCTGACTACTTGACCGTCCAGGAGAGTTCTTTGGTCCGTTTTTTTCGGCTCCAGCCGATCCAAGATCTTAAGAGTTCTCTTCTGAATACCCTCTGAAAAGAGCGGCAGACGAGCAGACGGGCTGAGAAACCGACCTGTCCGGACGTCAAGAGGGGCGGTCGCGTAGTGATGCTGACGTCGTGTGATGCAGACGGATCTGAGACGATGGCGTCAGGTGGACCGAGTGGACCGACCTTTGTCACTCGGGACCCAGCTTCTTCAGTTCGTGACCAAAACTTCTTTGGTGTTGTTCCTTGAGTGACTGAACTTGGCCTAAGTCTGTGACCGAAACAACCAGCTGGATCAAGTTCGGTCACGTACTGAAGAACTCAGAAATTCAGCTGTCTCCCTGTGAACCAGCTTACTTTCGTTTTCTCAGCATGGGTTCGGATGCCTGCTCAACACACAGGGTCGGGGGAACGCCTTTGTTCGGTGGACAGGGCCTTGAGGACGTCTCAGGTTATCCGAGTGTGGTTTGTCTTGAGGGCAGTCACTTTGGATACCCTAGGGCTCCAAGTACCTCCTCAGAAGGTATTTGGACCCTCTAAACCCACCCCAGTCCCACCTTCTTAGAAGGTACGACTGGAGCCCCAAAAAATAAGTATTGAAGGCCAAAGGGCAGCACTCAGTGGACGGGTCGAATCGGGTCAATTCCAATGATTTTTCGGGATTCCTTCCAATCCTAGGTGCCATGCACTCGTCTGAGTCACCACTGGTCAGCAGGTGAGCGCATCTCAGCGGTGAAAGAGCCGTCGAGATGCTGAGCTGTGCTGAAAAGATGAGCTGTGCGATCGATCTCCCGAACGACAGCCAAACAACACCCAACGATACCCATAGGATATTATACCTATTTACTGATCAGTTGGGGTGGGCATTGGGAGGGTCAGACTCTGGGGCGGGAGGAATACCCTCCCTGCAACCATCATGGAAGTCGAGTTCACCTCCTCTTGGTAGAGGTAAAGCGTCTTTCTTTCGGGGCTATGCCATGCACTTCCATGATTGTTTCAGGGAGTGTATCTTCCAGGGAGTCTCCACTGATCAAACCAATGGGAGTCGGTGACTGTTTCAGAAACTCACTCGCGCACAAAAGAGGACCAGAGAAAACCCACCGCTTTGCCGGTTTCGCCGAGGGTTTTCAGTGTTTTTGTGGGTTGGGGGTGTACCTGGCGGACACTGATCACGAAAGCTAAGCTAGTCGTGGACAATTCTCCATCGCATTGTTCTTGTGGGGCAGTTCGTCTTGGGGTCGAACTGTCCAGCATCATGTTCCTTGTTTTTTTTTCATTTTTTCACTAAGTACCGTGTCGTTCCATGGCGGGGTAGCAAGATGGATCCAGTCAGCGTGCCCACGATCCCCACATCGACACACGACACGTCGAAGAAACAGGCAATGGGGCCTACTGGGGGTCCGTCTTCAGGGCCTTTCCACAGGGAAAAGCGGGGGTCTTCGAGAAACTTCCAGCTCCATGGTCTGTTCAAGATCCCAACCTCCCATATTCCGAGAGCTTTTTCCAAGCCAAGCAGCTGGGAGAACTCCATTTTTTGGCTTTTTGTGAGGAGAGTTCCATTTTCTGGAAGACATGTCTCCTGGTCCCCCCTTTTCTGTTGTGCCTCCATGCCTCCAGTGCTGACCGCACCGGGGCAAAAAAAACGCCGAGTGGTCAGCCGACCCGGTGGCTTCGGTCGTGCAGACCGGGACTGGAGATCCATCGCTGGATGGTACTTTTTCTCCGAAGGGAGAGTCAGTTGGTCTGAGAGTGGATAGTGGATGAATGGGGGGATGAGGGAATGTCAAGGGGATGAGGGGGTGGGACTGAGTCCAGAGGTCTTTCAGCGATGCCTTGTTCATCCTTTTCATCTTTCAGGTAGCCCTGCCTCAACACCGGACCAGAGAGCGCTGTTCTTGGGCACACCGACCATCGACGCCGGAAAGGTCGACCAGGCGGCGGAAACCGGACACGGCGGGTTTTTTAGAGTTGTTTGGGAGGTTTGGCAGTGGAAACGCTGGAGTTTGGGTAGGTTGTTGAAGTATCTTTGGGGGTTGTAAGAAGACAAATGAAGAGGGGTTGAACAGATTGGGTATAAACTGGTGGGTTTGTTCTTCAGACCGTTTCTGAAGAGAGTATGGTCTACTCTGTCTGCTTTTTGGCGGTGCTTTGGTGCCTTGTTAGCAGTTCGCCGGAGTGAAAGTAGGTCTAAGACCGGCAAAAGAAACGCTGTTGAGAGCTGTCCAAAGTCCGGATTGAACGTGTGGATGGTGCGAGCAAGCACGTGGGTGTCTGAAAACCGTGGGAGGATGCTCAATATTGGATGAAGCATCGATTTTCCTTCCACTGGGGGGGCGTCTCTCTAGTTGGAGACGCAAGTGGATGCAGCTCAACGATTCGATCCCGGTTTTCAGGCTTTCGCAGTGTTTCCCTGTGCTGGCAGGGTTTGAGGGGGTGCCTACATATGGGTACCATAGCCAATTGAGGGATGGTGAGACACTCGCTGAAAGATACGGTTGCATCCGACCTCCATTTTTTGAAATGTGTTTTCTTCTTTTCGGCGAATGCAGTATGGTTGGTGAGAACCAATTGCTTTCCCAAAGTACATAGGCCGGATCATTTTTGTTTTCTGGAATCTTATATATATATATGCATATACATATATATATATATAGTCTAGGGCTCGCTCCCCATTGTCCATAGTCTTTCTCAACCAGAAACTGCCAACATGAAAAAATAAATTCCTTCTAGTGACTATACTGTTCACGTTCAGTAAGATCAGTAAGTAGTGAGATGGCAGCACCCATCTGAGTGGACGCGAAAATGGGCAGAAGTTCTGTCCCCTGATCCTTGAAATTCTGGCAAATGTGCACATGATTTTCTCATGTCTTTCAGGCGTCACTGCCTTTATATGGTATGGATAGGGTGTATCCCATTACCAGTCACAGTCACCAAACGATGATCACCATCACTCATGCCCTGTCGGTTTTTCTGTGTGCCCCATGACCTGTAAGAGGATGATGTCAGCCTGCAAACTAACCATCATCCACTAGGCCCAGGGCAGGAACGTCTGACCAACTGGTGTCTCCACTGGGAGGTCTCCCAACTGGTCTTGGGTCTCGGCTCTCGGGACGTTCGGGGAAACGTGAAGGAATACGTGACCTCCGAAGCGCGGAAGAAACACCGATGAACCGAGCTGAACCGAGCCTTAGGCTCAAAGAGCGCCCTTGGCTGAAAGAGACATTCAGGTTTATCCAATGAACCTCGGACAAGAACCAGGTGTTGTGTTTTTTTCCATTGTTCTGAAGAAAAGGAACAGTTCTTTCATGGACAAACAACAGGAGGGCTTTCGTTTTTTGGGAACCTATAGGAGTTCTCCATGATCGGCACTTGAGATCGCCCGCCTTCCGAGCTGCTCCGCGCGGTTCCTTTCGCTGCTCAGCTGCTGGCGTAACCGGTCCACACCTGTCTGAGCGGTCTCAGCCCTCATCGGTTTCCTGGTTCAGGTGGTCCCAAAAATCATGGAAACACCCTTAGTCAAGGTTGGTATGTTTCGTTTGTCACGGAGATAGGCTTGATGGTCAAATGTCAGTCTTCTTTGTGGAAGCTACAGCGTTCCCGCAGAAGGGGGATCCATAGCAACCTAAGTCGCCAGCAGCGACGACTTCACAGTCAACCGGCACACGAGTCTAGATTGCACCCGAATCCTCACGAGCTGTCCGCCCAACAGAGGGCCATGAGCAAACAAACCAAGCCACCCAATGGTCAGAAGGTCTTACTGCTTCATCCACAAGTCAGAAACCATCAGTCATTCCCGGCCTCCTGTGCTCCTTCCGCCTACTCTTCGCGCGACGCGCACCGCCATGGCCGAAGCGCGATGCCTCCTGGGCTCGTCCTTCGCCCCGCTGCCGGCGCTTGACCCCGCGACGCCGCCCGAGAACACCCCGCGGGACGACGCCACGGAGGAAGTGGCGCAGGTGAGCTGCGAGGTGCACGAGTTGGAACTCACGTCAGGCGCGGTTTGGGTTTGTGGGCGGGGGGTTTGGAGTCTAGAGGGCCAAGTTTGGACTCCAAGGGGACACTCAAAGGACCCAACGGTCTTTTTAAACCCCGCAGAGCATTTCAACTCCAGGGCATTGTTCGACTTCACATTTTTTTCGAAGACATGGAAGTGGACATGTTTCGCTGAAACATGGACAGAAGCACCGAAACGTGGCACCGAAGAGCTGCACTGCGATTTCGAACGCATGAACCGCCACGCACTCCCGCATGAGAAAGCGCCGATTCCAACTCTGCATTACTAGTAAAGAGAAGCTACTAGTAACAAGGACATCGCTACAAACGGAGCAAGAAGCTACTAGTAGCTCCTGGCATTGTCATTTCCAGTTGCTTTCTTCCGTCCACTCCTCACCTGACTGTCCGAGCACCTGACTGCGTTCCAGGGCTTCACCACTTAGGAAGAGCTTTTCTGGTCTTCGTATTGTTCGTTTCGCGTTGTCACGGCCAGCAAGGCCAGCAAGGCTTTACACTGAGGATGCACGGATGATTCCCAGAGACATGTGACCTTTGTGACCTATGTTGTACTGACTTAGCCCCAAGCTCAAGCAGTTGGAACGGCAGAATCCGATGGCAGGTCATCTCTCGAGTCAGATCCACGAGATTTCCATATCTTCCATGACTGTCCTCGTATCTTCCGTGTCTTAATTTTTTTTTCAGATAAAACGGTTCCTCAGCACACATAGCGCAATCTCATCCGTTCCATGATCTGTCGCCCAAAACACCGTTCTTTTTTTTTTGATCGACCAACACCTGAGGATGTCGAGCATTCAGCTGGCCCCTGAAGAGCCTGGCGGTGGGGACGCTTCTGCTGCTGGTCCTCGTAGGCGGGTGGGTTGTGGGGTGGACTGAGGAGGGCCACAGCATGGCGCTTTCGGTGTGTGTAAATACCCTGGACTCATAGGGATCTCATAGGTCCTAGGTAACCTTTTGGTTTGATTTGTTACCTGAATCAGCAGGGGAGTACGGCATGATTGTGGGACCCCACTCCACAATCATGGGATACCCAGTCTGATCAACTTGGCGTACCTGCACTTGAGTTGTGAGTGTTTTAGCCGTTCTCCAATGGTAGCGGTCCCCAGGCTGTTGCAGGATGATTCAGGTTGGCAAACGTGCTTTTTTGCAGTCCTGGCCGGCCGCGAGCGGCTTTATCAACCTTGAACTTTGATGGTTTTGAGACTTGATGGCCAGCCGCACTGACCCACCACCTGGTTTCTTAGGTTTTACTTGCTTAGGTTGGCGTGTGGCAAACCGCAGTCAGTCCGTACATATCATTTCCCGAGCGTGTGGATGAGTGGCTTGGGGGGTCTGCAGCCGGAGGTGTAGCGATGGTCCTCTTAGTGAAACCATGAGTGAGGTTCCGGAGTCCTTTTCTTATTCTCCACTAGTTAGACAGATGTTCTTGTATAGTTGATGTACTTAGTTGAATCACCTTCAATGAAAGCTGTGTTATTTTGCTGGGTTGATGCCCTAACATGCTTGGCTGTCAAAAAAGAGCTTCCTTTCCTTTCTCTTGACCTCCGCTGCTCCCACGCCCCGCCCTGCTCCAACGCTGCAGGCCTCGCCACCGCCGTGCCGGCCCTGCCGTGGGCGCGGCCACCTCCGCGGGCGACGGGCGAAGCGTTTAGCGAGCTGGCCATTGCGGACCCCACTAAGGCGAAGGTGGACAAAGTGGCGCAGCTGGTGCTGCAGCTGGTGCATGAGAAAGCGGTGCAAGAGGACGCCCCAAAAGTGGCCCTTGCGATCCGAGCTGCGGCGTGTGCGAACGAGTTTTGTTCGGGCGTGGCATTCGGAACGAGTTTGTTTGGGCGTTTTTCGATCTAGAGATACATCATCCGGTTTTGGGAGGAAAGAGATGTCGATTTTTAAGACTCACTCAACACAAACTTGATGAGCATGATGAAAGAACAGTGCGACATCTACCAGATTTTGATGGAGTGATTTTGACGATGCTGTTCCAGATTTCGCAACACAAAGAAGATCGACAAAGTGTCACCCCAGGAACATGGACAACAGGTGTTTCTTTTGTTCTAGGCACCTTGCAATGCAACCGGGCGAAACCAGCCAGGTGACCCCGACATGAAGAAGGTGCTGCTACTCTGACTCTACTCTCGCATGGGTTTTTTCAAGAGCAAACCACCCGGTACAACGGACGAGTTCCTCCGTTCCTCGCCGCTTCCTCGCCGTTCGCCGGTAGGAGGCGACGAAGGTCCGGAAGGTTCTTCAGGCGGGGAAAGCCGGGGCCGTGCGTGGCATGGGGTGGGTCTTCTGGAAGAAGAGACGTTTGCATCGTTTGCGGCCGTGGGTTTTCTGGAGAACCTCTTGAAACATCGGACACGACACGAGCGTCATCGACTGGCATCCTTGGCGAAAAGGCCAGGGGTGATTGACGGGACCAATGTAGACATATACTAACAGCGCCCTCCTGGCCAGGCTGTTAGTTGAGGGTTGTTGGACCCTGTCTCAGGTCGAACCAGACTGGTGACCTGGTATATAATATATCCGGTCTCATGGAGCGATATGGGATTGAACCTGGGGACATGGGACATCGACCACACCGGTCTCTTTTCTGGATTTTTGTGGCGAACGGACGTGGAAGGGTCTTGGAAAAAGCACTCCACGGAGAGGAAAAGCACTCAGAACTTCATTATGACTGTGAGCATGGCTCAGATCAGGGATGGCGAGTCTTACTCTTGTCTATGCTAGACCATGGGGACACATCACAGAATACATTAGCTATTCCATGCTATTCCAAAGTACAATACTCCTGTGCTCAGCTGATCTTCCAGTCATAGTCAATATGCTTGTCCTAGGCACCTCATAGGCTTGCGTGAGCCTCAATGGAGATTAGGGCGGTGTCTGGCAGAGCAGTTGCTCAGGTGGATGAGGATGAGTTGCTTGACATGGTTGAAAGTGGAAAGTCCTTTCTGCACCTAAAGCAGCTCCTTTCAGCTAAGGTCGGACACTCAAGATTTCGACAAAGGCTCTTGAGTGATTCGATGGGCGAATTGCATGACAACATGCCGCTAATACCAGTTTCAAATTTGCAGCTGGTAATCCTGGACTTTTGTGCTCTAGATCAGACTAAGTGGGCTGAGCTAGTTCGCCACAGTCGGGAGAATCACGTGGGGGAAGTTGAAAGGTTGCTTCAGAAACCGTACGATCCCAACTGGAGAGGTCGGAAAGATGTTGACGCCGATGCTACGCCCATGTCCTGCGCGGCTCAACAAGGCCACTTGAAGATTGTGCAATTGTTGCTTGAGGCTGGAGCTGACAAAGATGCAGCAACGACAGAAGGGGCA